GCTCTCTGCGAGACGCGAGTGCAACGTTGATAGATGTCCCTCTAGAAAATGTGATAAATATGTGTTCTGTTTGAACGGCTTGGTTTCAGTTTTGACGTAAACAACATCTTCTCCACAGTGATGCTCTCGTTTTCCGCAATATATGAATGAACAACGTAGCAGCACCGCATCTAGTGGGTTCAACTGGATAGGCTAACAAAAGCATTCAAATGCAATCAATGACACATACATCGTCATCGCATCTCGTGCGCCACTGATAGGCTGCCTGATGGCTGACGCAGACCTTAAATTGTAAAATTCGACGAATATTCGAAATTCAAATTTTTTTTTTAACAGCCCTAGATGCTACACAATGCCAAAGACGCGCGTCTGATGATCGTGTACACAGATCAACAATTAAACGTGCAATTAAAGTGTGCTTCTTACCTTATCGGTCTCAATTTCACAGACGACCTCATCTTCAGAGACTGTGTCTCCAACAGCTAAAGACACACAGAACAGGGTTAACGGGGTCCAATGAGGCGAGACGTCTGTCCTGCACACCTGATGAACTTACCTTTCTCCCACCTGACGTCTCCCTCTGTGACAGACTCGGCAAACGCTGGTGTTTTCACTGTAATAACTTCATTCCCTGCAATCGCAGAAGACAGTTAATGTGGAAGTTGTGTGCTGTGCAACTGTAGAAAGGTGTTAACCAACAGAGAGCTTTCTAGAGTGTTTACACCACTGAATCGGGTTTTAGGAAGGTACATTTAAGACACTTTTAAAACCAAGTAAAGAAAATGTAAGGACTAAATCGAAGGGAACACAGTAAGTTCTATAAATGTCTAAATGAGATGCATCAGCAACACCTCAAATTTTGAAAATACAACTTGCAACAGATCCCCATTACATTTCATTCATTTTAGAAAAGACCATTTTGATCACACTGCAAAAAAAGTGAATGTATCTTTTTCTCAGTATTTTTGTCTTTTTTCCAGGGCAAACGTCTAAAGATTCTTAAACCAAGATGCCTTTACTGGAGAAGCAAAATCACACAAGAAGTCTTGTTTTCTGAGAGATCGATCAAAATGAAGAGTTTGATTAAAACAAGAACAAATATCTAACAATGGGGTCAGAAAAATCAACATGATTCCAATGGAAAAAAGTTTTCATAACCTATTCATAGATACTGTATATGTTCTTATTTTAATCAAACTCGCTTCATTTAATCATACATTATTTTCTGGGAAATTGAACAAGGCTTTAATCTTTATTTTGCATCTGAAATAAAAGTATCTTGATTTAAGTTATGTTTAGATATTTGTACAGGAAAACAAGACAAAAAATACTGGGGAAGATATTTTTATTATTATAATTGTTTTGCAGTGTATGCAACATTTAATGCCATTACCTTATGAAGAATTTGTGCTCCAAGAAGACTATATAAAGACTTTTTAAGGCCTTATGCAAATTAATACTTTTTAAGATCAGCAGAAACCCAGCTGAAGACATGATCAAACATAATACCAAATATAGAAAAGAAAAGTAGAAAGGAAACTTGTTTAATTGCTAACTGATTTTATTTTGTCTCTGCAGTCCGCAGTGTACACATGCATGCCTTTTACAGTTAAAGTTTTAAGTTTACACAGAAACTACTCTCTTTTTCCAATGTTTGTTCAAGTACTTTCAATTTGTTGAAATGCTACACATCTATTATTATATAGAGTTGTATTATCGGAGCTGAACATGAAATAAGCAGCAGACTGAGATGTTTATTTCAGGAATATGAAATGAACTTGTGACTAAACAATAAAGAAAGGCCACAAAATCAAGACTTGTGTGTATCAGTGATGCCTGACCCTGACCTTCAACAGACAAGTGACCTTAAAGAAGTGAAGGAACTGTGTTGACGCTGTACGCTACGAACAATAAACTGTGAAGGGAATGGCACACAGTCTTATCATGACTAAAAAGTAATGCAAAACTGCTGCTGCTGCTGCTGTGCACCACTCTTTAGCACCAGCATTTGACCAGAGCTTATTTCAGAGATGCAGAGCATGAGCGTATACGTACTGTGAGCGGCTGAGGTGTTGAAGTATCTGATTTGATAGACGCTCGACCGGGTCTCACACCTCCTGAACATCAACAGCACACATCATCATCTCAACACAATACAGCAGGGATGCAACGATATCAAAATCTCACCATACGATATTATCGCGATATGAAGTCCACGATACTATATTTATTGCGATATTTTAAAAAAAAAAGACGAATGAAGAATTGGAAAAAAAATGAAAATTTTGCACATTTTCAAGTTAAATTATTCTATCTAATGCCCTTTGAGAGTTCATAATTAAGACTTGCAACCCATGTTCTTAACTAAGAAAACTTAAGTCAGTGAATTGACTTGTTCCTGAACTTTAAAGGGGACTCAACCCTCTTTTTATTTGTGGTATACCGTCTCAGTCTAAATTACATTCACACTGGGGTTTTAGGAAGCCAAACAAATTAGAACATAATAATAATAATAATAACAACAACAGTAATAGCCATATATTGCAAAACAACTGCACTGCAAAATAACTGAAAATTAATACCTCATAGGTATATTATTTTTGCTTTACACTACAGTAGGGAAATTACAATACTTCTTTCCTAATTTCTACACTTGAAAGAGATATTTGGACTGCATTTAAACCGCTAGCTGTCAGAAATTCATTCTGCACTTTAAGCTTTTATTTAGAAGGAAACTCCAGCTTCAGTGAAAACATGCTCACAAAAACACGTCTCACTACAAATCTAGTGAAGCGCTGTAATCATCGGTCGTGAAAATAAAGCCTAACTGGTGTCTGTTGCGTTCCCAAACGCACGCTAAACTCACAGCACGTGAAATAAAGGAGTTGACTGCATTCATTCAGTGTGAACGAGTCGTTCTGAGACGCGGAAAACACCGGATCACAAGCTGATCATCTGAACGAAGTGTGCGCTTTGCTTTGAAACAGACTTGATGAAGGGATTAAGCATATTGTGCTTTCGGTTTGAGTTCATTTGACAGATACTGTGCCAAAGCATAATGACCCAAAACACAACTTTAAAGACCTTTTATGTTAGAATAAGAAGTAGGGTTGTGACGGTGAGGACATTTTCCCACCGGTTAATCGACGTGTGACAAAACCTGAAATACCGGTATCACCGCGGGGTGGGAGGGGGGTGTTAGTTCGTTTGAGTTTCCCTCTTTTCTTAGCTTTCAAATGGCTTGTAAAAGTGCCGTGCGCATTTTACTTTCACTTTCGAATTTGCGGCAATTGAATTGCCACAATTCGGCGTCAAGCTATTTTTCATTCGAGTTTTCCCTCTTTTCCTCAGATTTCTTGGCTTTCAAATAGCTTGAAAAAGAGCCGTGCGTGTTTTACTTTCACTTTCAAACTGTTACTATAAAAAAATCAAAACGACAGTGGTGGGCGGTGACGGCAAATGACGTAACCGGTGTTGCGGCTTAACACCGGTATAACCGAAAACACCGTCTATCGCAGCAAGCCTAATAAGAAGTATACATATATTTTAAAAACTACAGTTTTTGCCCAGAAGGCCTATCGTTTCATATCGTCATGTGACCACGATAATACCGAGATCGAGATATCACAATATTGATAATATCGTTACATCCCTACAATCCAGTCAGATCTTTGACTTTGTATCTGTGGGAACACCATGACTGAGGACGAGTCTAGAAACGTCAGAGATACTTACGGGCTGTTCTTGAAGGTGACACACTGACTCGCTGTTATACCTGGAGGAAAAAGGAGACACAGGAACATCAAATCATGTTTGTTTGCACTGTCAGAGAAAGAAAGATACGAGACTGTTAAAACCTATGACATGCAACGCAGAAGAAATATCCTCAACTATCTCACAACTCACCTGAAGCAGCCCGTCTTGCGAGAACACTGTTACCCTAGATAGAAGAACAAGACCACACCAGTGCATCAGTGAGCAGAAGAAGCAAAAACAAGCAGCAAAACAAACAGCAGGAACTTTTGACAAACAACAGCATCTGGCTGACTTTGATTCACACCTGTAATACCTGAATATGTGCCACTGTACTGTATGTTTACATCAAACGCACTGAAGAAGACGCTCTGTGAAGTCTTACATACACACACATGGTCATTTAACGCTCTAGAGTATTTCATCTAGAGTAGGGAACCGAGCGAAGACCTTTGAGTTTTTGCCTAAATAAAAGTCTGGTTTAATTGGATCTCTGAAATTGCAAAAATTATGAGAGGAATGCATTAATGTTTTATATTAAAATAGAATATTCAATGTGATAAATAATACTTTCACATTTTATTGTTTTCATATTAAATGCTATAGTAAATCTAATACTGATATAGGCATTAGCACAACCAGCAAGAGTGCTATTGTACTGAATATCAGCACGGTTTTAATTTGACTGTTGTGCTCTTCCTCCACGTTCGTTTAGGACTTTATTTGACAAAGCAATCCAATGATTTGTTTTAACTGTGCTCTGAAGCTCTATTCTGAAAGACTCTATTTAATAAGAACACACTTGTTTTATAGTTTTTTTTTTTTTTACATTAGATTAAAGATATGTTTAAATTTATTAATAAAATGCTCACGTTTTATGAATGAATTAGCCTTTTTTGGCAATAAAATTGAATATTAAATTCTAAAGTAAGAAGAGAATAGACATTTGCTTACATAAAACTTATTAGGTTATTTGAAAATATAATAAAATATTCATACAATCTAAACTATTAAAATAAGATATCATAATAAAAATATTATTTTATTGTAAAATATAAAATTCCATAATTTTATATATATATATACAGTGGCGTGAAAAAGTGTTGGCCCCCTTCCTGATTTCTTATTTTTTTGCATGTTTGTCACACTTTAATGTTTCAGATCATCAAATCTGCAGTGGCTCTGGGGACAGGGGCTGGAACTTGAGCATCTGGTGTCTGTACAATCATGAAGTAAAAAATAATAGATTTTGTAAATATAACATTACAATAACTTTAACTCATCCTAGATTATATCATACGCTACAGTTTAAAAGTTTGAGGTCTAAATGTTTATAAAAGAAACCTATTCTGTTCACCAGAGTTGCATTTGATCAAAAATACAGTAAAAACAGTAAAAAGATATGGTTACATTATGAAACATTACTACAATTTAAAGTTGTGAAATGTAATTTATTTCTATGGGGGCAAGAACACATTTTCAGCATCATTACTCCAGTCTTCAGTGTTACATGATCCTTCAGAAATCATTCTATTGAACATAAACATTCATTACTATTAGTTGAAAATGTGAAAATGGCTGGTACTTAATAAAACTGCATTAGTGGTTGTCACGCTTACTGTGTTGAGGAAAGCGCACAAAGATGAAAATGAAGCGTAAATAGTCTTTAATTAATCCACACAGAGGAAGGCAGTAACACACGGACCAAGACAAACTGAACAAACTAAAGCTTAAGTAGACAGACCAATGAGGGACGAATGAGTAAATTAACTAGACACAAGTGAACTGAATAACATAATCAAGGGGAGACAGAAACTAGGTCAAGGAACATGAGGAGAGTTAACACAACAAAGTCCATAAATGTGACAGTGGTATTTTTCAGAATTAAGTTTGAAGAACAGCATTTATTCGAAATAGAAATCCTTTGTAACATTAAATGTCTTTACTGAGATTTTTGATCAATTTAATGCCTCCTTTTTCAATATCTTTAAAAAAAATAAAACTTACTGACCCAAAACTTTTGAATGGTAGTTTGTGTGAAATCTATTTATATAATATTGCTTTTTTCTTTGTTAAAATATGGTTTTCTGGTATTAAAAAATATTTTTAAAAGTTTAATAATTTGGATAGAATGGAAAGTGGAACGTGTCTTCATAGAATACAATGTAGATTATGCAATTACTTACAGAGACAGTGGTGCTTGGTATAGAGGCACTAGACACTGCTGCGCTGGGCTGGTCTTCAACCTGGGAAGGTCTCCTGGCCACATTAAGATTCGGTTTTGCTGCAGCAATGTGAGAGCCGGTAAATCTTGGTTTGGTATACTAAAAATGTGAGAAGACACAATGTGTTATAATAGCAAGCATTACTATTTATTTTAATATTACTATTTTAAGTAAATGCAGACTTCAAAAATACTTCTTTCTGAATGGAAGTGTAGTCCATAAGAGGAATGATTCATTAGCAGTACTGACTCTTGAAATAACTACAAAGTATTTGCATGGTGGAATAATTATTAACATGTGTACAATTAATAATAGCCAGCGTGTATGTGGAATGTTACCTGAGATATAGAATGAAAAAGAGAAAATGTAGCTTTAACACATGAGAAGTATAGAGAGAGATGCCATGAGGGACATGAGTCTAGCTCAGTGACCTTCAACCCAGGCCGAGCTCAGTTAGAGAGGAAGAGGACAATCCAAGAGTAGAGCCCAGAGATGAAAGAGAGAGAGCACACAGGTTACATTCTTCATTTATCCTTGACCATGTGACTTAAACCAAATCTGAGATATTCAAACCGACCAATCAGCAGACAACAGCTGCCCCCACTGTACAAGAGGTGTGACAATTAGTAGGTCTCAGCCAGCATCTCTTAGTTTTCTTGCTTTCTTCTTACTTTCTGAACTTCCTCGAATTTGAAGTGAACTCATACTTCAATGCTTTAAAAAAAAAATTGCAACTCACCATTGACAATTGTGCTGCAACTCTTGCTGCCACAGGAGCAGTAGGCTGGGGCTGGGGGTCCGGCTGACTCTGCTCCATGGCCTTCTTTGCTGTTCCAGCAGCAGCAGCAGGTTGTTCCACCACCCTTTGTGCTGGTCCAGTAGGGCTGGCAGTTGGCTGTTTAAGACAGCCCAAAAAAAATACATGTAACAATTCAGAAAGAAAACCATTTCAGTAAATAATACTAACAAAAAATACTTGCTACATTAATGTTACCTTTGGAGTGTGAAAACCACAGATGCATTTCAGCACACCTCCAAGCAAGTTTGTCTGGCCACGAGACAGCATCGGACATTTCTCAATCTGTAAGCATAATAACAAATGTAATGCACAATACAAGTGAGTCCCTTAACAGAGCATACAATACTTCATTAAATTCATATATTAATTAATTCATTGATTAATTTCTAGGACACGAGTCACTATTTATCTTATATACAGTGGTGTGAAAAAGTGTTGGCCCCCTTCCTGATTTCTTATTTTTTTTGCATGTTTGTCACACTTTAATGTTTCAGATCATCAAACAAATTTAAATATTAGTAAAAGATAACACAAGTGAACACAACATGCAGTTTTTAAATGAAGGTTTTTATTATTAAGGGAAAACAAAATCCAAAACTACATGGCCCTGTGTGAAGAAGTGTTTGCCCCCCTGTTAAAACTGTGGTTTATCACACCTGAGTTCAATTTCTCTAGCCACACCCAGGCCTGATTACTGCCACACCTGTTCGCAATCAAGAAATCTCTTAAATAGGACCTGCCTGACAAAGTGAAGTAGACCAAAAGATCCTCAAAAGCTAGACATCATGCCGAGATCCAAAGAAATTCAGAAACAAATGAGAAAGAAAGTAATTGAGATCTATCAGTCTGGAAAAGGTTATAAAGCCATTTCTAAAGCTTTGGGACTCCAGCGAACCACAGTGAGAGCCATTATTCACAAATGGCAAAAACATGGAACAGTGGAGAACCTTCCCAGGAGTGGCCGGCCGACCAAAATTACCCCAAGAGCACAGCGACGACTCATCCAAGAGGTCACAAAAGACCCCACAACAACATCCAAAGAACTGCAGGCCTCACTTGCCTCAGTTAAGGTCAGTGTTCATGACTCCACCATAAGAAAGAGACTGGGCAAAAATGGTCTGCATGGCAGAGTTCCAAGACGAAAACCGCTGCTGAGCAAAAAGAACATAAAGGCTCGTCTCAGTTTTGCCAGAAAACATCTTGATGATCCCCAAGACTTTTGGGAAAATACTCTGTGGACTGACGAGACAAAAGTTGAACTTTTTGGAAGGTGTGTGTCCCATTACGTCTGGCGTAAAAGTAACACTGCATTTCAGAAAAAGAACATCATACCAACAGTAAAATATGGTGGTGGTAGTGTGATGGTCTGGGGCTGTTTTGCTGCTTCAGGACCTGGAAGACTTGCTGTGATAAATGGAACCATGAATTCTGCTGTTTACCAAAAAATCCTGAAGGAGAATGTCCGGCCATCTGTTCGTGACCTCAAGCTGAAGCGAACTTGGGTTCTGCAGCAGGACAATGATCCAAAACACACCAGCAAGTCCACCTCTGAATGGCTGAAGAAAAACAAAATGAAGACTTTGGAGTGGCCTAGTCGAAGTCCTGACCTGAATCCTATTGAGATGCTGTGGCATGACCTTAAAAAGGCGGTTTATGCTCGAAAACCCTCCAATGTGGCTGATTTACAACAATTCTGCATAGATGAGTAGACCAAAATTCCTCCACAGCGCTGTAACAGACTCTATGTAAGTTATCGCAAACGCTTGATTGCAGTTGTTGCTGCTAAGGGTGGCCCAACCAGTTATTAGGTTTAGGGGGCAAACACTTTTTCACACAGGGCCATGTAGTTTTGGATTTTGTTTTCGCTCAATAATGAAAACCTTCATTTAAAAACTGCATGTTGTGTTCACTTGTGTTATCTTTTACTAATATTTAAATTTGTTTGATGATCTGAAACATTAAAGTGTGACAAACATGCAAAAAAATAAGAAATCAGGAAGGGGGCCAACACTTTTTCACACCACTGTGTATATATATATATATATTGTTAGCTTTTTTTTCTTTTTTAACAAATAGATGAATTTTAAGCAAGGACATTAGGAATATGATGAACTAAGAGGAAGGATCTTAACATGTTATAGTTTAACATACACCAGCTGTCATGCTGCCACTAACTACTAATCAATCACACTCTGTAGCAGTGCAGACAAACATGAAGGCAAATCTTTAGCCCACAAACACAAGCACTGCTACATCGTAGGCTTGCCGCGATAGACGGTGCTGAGGGTGATACCGGTGTTAAGCCGCAACACCGGTTACGTCACTTGCCCACCGCGGCACCGACCCCCACTGTCGTTTAGATTTTTTATAGCAATAAAAATAATTTAGTTCAGTAAAAGAACAGACATTACAATTAAAAACTGAACGCGGCTGCTCAATGCAGCGTGCCGAACGACAGTAGCATCACA